CATATTTTGCGCGATCCAATAACCGAACCTACACTAATAACTTTGATATTAATTAAAAGATGTCTCCTTTCTTTTTACATGTTGCAAGCTGTCAGTAATATATATATAATGCCGATACGTGATGATAAGGTGCATCTTATCAACAACCTTGTTTAATTCACTCGTTTATTTGACTGCCTCTGTAGTAATATTATCTTTTCCACATATTTAAGGGTTGTATAGACTTGCATGCAGTCGAATCATGCTGTTTGTTTTCTTTTCCAAATAAAATAAAGATTTTCTTTTTTTTAAATAAATTACTTTTTGTTTTTTCAAGGTCACCTTGACTTTCGCGTTTACCCATATTTTAAGTTTGGATTAACAACTCGGAAAATATGTTCATTTTATTGAATCTGGAAAATAATTATATGTATGACAATAATGAAACTGCGTAGTGAACAACTCGTTAGCAGGCCAACAGTTGTGTAATGACCCTTTTTTATATAACTTTATTTATTCGCCAGTTTCTGTTTGTAGTTAATATTATGTGTGGTTTCCTTTGACTGGTGTGTTTTGTTAAAAACAGTTCCATGGTTAAAGTACCGTTGTTTTTCGTAATTAGGAGCGTTGTGGGTTTTTTCCCAATCCAACGCCAAACGTGAATAGCTAACCTGCATATAACCATTTCAAACGTGCATAACGTGCGCTTCATGCATTAACTGCAACCACATTGTAGACAGAACAGTTTTCAAGAATGCAAAATGTGAATTGCTAACATGCGTATATCTCACGTGTCTAACCTGCGTAACGCTCCTTACCTGTAAACATCTTCCAAACAATATGGTGCGTCTAATGTGCCTAAACTTGAAACAACCTTCCTGGTAATATATTTTTGTTTTCAAACCCGCAAAACATGAAAAGCTTATAAAGTATGTAATACCCCTCACATTTTCGTCCCCTGCGTTCTAAAATACCAAATTAGTTGACATGCTATAATTTGGAGATAAGATTCTCATATCGTATCGTGCGTGTTCTAATGTGTGTAATCTGCAATATACTAATAGTCATCTGCTGCCCATAGCTCGAAAAATTAGTTTGAAAAAAAGTTAACTAATCTGTTCTCTTATGATTATTGTATAATTGAAGATTAATATATTTTTAAAATAATTTGTTGTTTTTTATTAATTTAGAAAAACATACATTCCAAGACATCAATTTACGTTGACATCATGAGTTAATGTGTGGGCTCCTAGATGACAGTTAACAATCACAGCCCACATGATAGCTTATCTTCATAATTGAAACTTACAACAACCTTCTGCGGTTTTATTGTTTATTTCCTTGTTATATTTCTCGTGCAGTCAGTATTTTGGGTTCTGAGACATTTAACTACGTACGATCCTAGCGTTCTCAGACTGTTACCGAGTGAAGAGGCTTTTGTTTTTTATACTGATTGTATTGTCTGAATACTGTAAGGCATGTTGAAAAAGCGGCATGCAATTTTAGCAAATTGCGGTAAAATGACGTAATAGCGAAATGTTGATTTAGCGAATCTCTCTTGTCATTGTTAATTTCTTTGTTTGGGGGCCATTTTGAATTGATAATAAAGTCATTAGCGACATCTTGAATTAGCGAATTAGTTCTTTCGCTAAATTCGCGAAAAAGAAATGTTTTACAGTATACTTTATTTATTTATTTGTTTCTATTTTTGTCTATTATTAAAATGGTTGGAGCCTTACTTGGTAGTATTTATGTGATGGTTCACTTGAACGTGTGATCTCTGAGAGATGACAGTAAAATAATCCACAACACATAAGTAGAACCCATAGAACCTGACGATTTTGACAATGACGTTGACGCATGGAATCCAAGTTGAAACATGTTTAGACAGTCAATGGAAATTGTCCTCTCAATCTAACAAATACAAAGTCCAATATTATAATATCACAATCTATACATGGGGTAAACAAATCGTATTTTGACAACAGTTCACAAATCCTGGGCTCGACTCACCTTGCACATTATCTATTCATACAAGCAACCCATTTTCATATTTGAGAAGTAAAAATGTAATTACGAGAAAAAAAAAAGGTTCTTGCTCACCATCTAGACTTCCTAGAGTATGGTCCCTCGAAGGCCCTGTGCCCGATGTTCCGGTGTTACCATGGTTACGTTCCCAATTACCTTGGTTACCATCGTCATTAGTCAGCCCACACATATTATCTTCGAAGTCGCAGAAGAAATTCTGCCTGCCTGTAATATACTGCCATTCATAAAAACAGGGACTATGTTTTGAGTATCTAGAAAAATCATACTGTACCAGAGTTGCATGGCACAATGAATTGTATATGACCGCACAGCGAAATATACCAGTGTAGTTAAATGATTGTAGTCGCGTCACGTTCCTATGCGACGTATAGATAAATAGTTTAATAACAATAACAATTAATGATGCCCGAAACTCGAAGTTCGGTTAACCATGGAACTATAAACCCCATATAGTTCCATGGGTTAACTATTATTTGAACATCTTTAACTTAGGCGTGATTTTGCAAAAGTGGGCGTGGTGTTTGAAATATGGACGTGACAATTCACAATCTCTGAACTTAGTGTCTGGAGTTTTGAGATAGAAAAAAAAAACTTTGCGATTATTGTTTTCTTAGACCCTTTTTAATTAGCTTCTTCGCTAGAAATATCTGCTTTTCCTTGTAAACTGTGTTTCTCCCTAAATGTAGTAAAGTCGTGTTTTTTTTCTACATGACTTCGCGATTCGGAGAGGCGTTCACCATTTTTATTGAGCTTTGAAAAGAGCAAACCTAACAAGTGGACGAGTCTCTGTAATACGACCTTCGCGGCTGTCGCCTTGTATGTTGAAAACTAACTGTTGTTATGTTGATATAGTTTATCCATTCATATCTATACAAATCTCTAGATTCACAGAATTTCTTGTTCTTCCACTGTGTACTTAGCATGAGACTATTACACACTGAATATTAGCTTCATGCTTTCAGTGCAACGGCGCCAAATGTTTAACAAACAAATGGCTGTAGTTTAAACCGCTGTCGGACCGCCTCTGAGTTGATTGCTTCGTTGGTCGATGCATATGGTAAACTTACTACGTTGAAAAAAACACGACCTGTGTTATGTGCTATATTTGTATTGTCGCCTAATAACGTATCCACTGTAATCCCGGGGTCATCAATGAGAAGAAAACAAACACATTCCAAACATTCACCAGTTTCTACATTGTTTTATTGTGGGTTACGAGGTCGCATGCAGCTCCATGGGGGCGGATTTTATTTGTTTTTATTTTAATGTCGATGTTTCAATTGACGTGCTTTAAAACGACAACACAAATACTCACTTTACTCCAAGCAACACCGACTGTCAAGGACGCGAATTAAGCAACTGGCAACGAACCATGAATATGAGTTCGGAGGAGAAAAAACCCGATAACTCATTGCTGTAATATTTCTGTTAGCAATGTTTCACTGTTTTTGTTACCGACTGCACTGTTATTTATAAAATTATTCATTGGTATATACGTACAGATAAGCAACAGTAAAACGTTCTGGCTCAATTGTTTTCGATGTCCTTTTACACGATCGTAAAAGTTATGGGACTATGTATACTATTTTGATTAGGTTGTAAACACGTACCACCAGACCGTCTTACACCCCTCCATGAATCAGGTACTGATATAGCATTCTCACCACAGAGCTTATTACTTAATAAAGACGAATGTCAAACCGTGTAATAATACTACATCTGTCGACCTATGACGTAATGTATTCAACCAGGGGTACGTATATTCAACATTGGCCGCAAAGCCTGGTATGATTAAAATAATAGATCGGTTACCGTTAATTCCTGACACCATTGACAACGCGAGGAACAAACAAAAGAACATCGTATCCATGATGCGATAATTAAATTGATTGAGTATTAACAGCATGCACGAAACATACACGGGACACGCTTCACATTCTACATGTGTCAAACACGTCTCTACGTCATCAGCGATAGTGTAAGTGTCGGCGTGGATAATTACACGTAGGTTGCAGGTAGGTGATTTGTCTGTTTTCTCAGCCAATCAGCGACTGTCGTGTTGGAATACTAATAGATAAACAAGTGCAAGTGTTTATTCGTTTAAAAGATGTGTCACGCGATGCGTTGTTTATGACTTAGTAAATACTAGTAGTCCGTTTAATGTATTGTACAGAACTGATACGTCGAGCTAAGTGAGGGAAGAAGTAGCACGAGTAGAGCGGACATTTTGGTTTAAGTATTGGAAGTTGAATATATGCAATAGTTGCTAGAATATAGAAATACTTGTGTAGTTGTAAATGGTAGACTTTATTCAATATAACAAGATGGCTCCATAATAATCAATATTTCTCGCTTCAGACAAATGAAAACTGTTTATTTGTTTGTTCAGTTTTACTTGGAATTTGGGGCGATTATTGTGTGAAATGTCTTTGTTTACGTGCGGATACATGCGGGAAATGTTGAGAATTTGCCCTCGTCACACCAGCAGTAAACGTCAAATGGCGATTGCTTATCTTATTTATACTACGAGTTTTACAAATTGTGGAGTGTTTTTTTCCAATAAGAACATGACACAGTCAACGTTTATAATGGAAACAAAAATTGTCGAAAGCTCATTGGATAGTCAGTCGTGTTATAAAAGTGAATTGATTGACCGCGTCCATCTTGTTGAATAATTGATCATTTCAAAGACCCTTCAATCGATACTCTGTAAACCGCTGATTCGAAGACCGTTAACGTTCGAAAAAAATTACACTATTTCCGTTCTAAGCCAATAGTCGATCATTATTGACTTCTTAATCGATTCTAGATTATTTGTTACGAATTCAGTTTAGACTGTGAATGTTGCAGAAGTCCCACATTTCAGAGGCACTACAGACTAGACCATAATTACAATACGTATACGGTGACGTCATCACAGCTAGCTTCATGATGCAGAATTAAAAGACCTCGACTGTATCTAATTGCAACAAGACGACGACCGAAGGCGTACATTCGTTATGCAACACATGTAACTAATGTAGCTTCGGAGAAAAATCGAGAGGGAAATGGACCAGAATAATGAGCTCCTTGGTATCATTACAAGTCGGAGAAAACAACTCAAGTAGTTCGGTTACATCACTAAACGCTTTGGCGTGCCAGCAAATTATGAGTTTCAACGATGCGTGGAGGGTAGAAGAAAAACAAATTAGCTGAAAAATCGTACGCCTGTACCATGTATAATATATATTTAACTATACAAATAAAAGATGAAATGAACATCCAACAAGACCAGATTGTTACGTCACTTCCCATATTGATACTGTAACTATTGTGTATTAAAAATATTCTCCGTATGAAATTCCACATATCACCAAAACTACGCTTAGGTCAAAATTCAGGTTTTACTGATACAGAAATCAGTCGTCACACAATAGGCCTATTACTTGAACTTGAATCATATTGATGATAGGTATTACATATCTAGCCACAGAACAACGTAATTATACAAAGAAGTCTTCCTTGGGTTTACCTTTGTAAGTAACCATATTTTAATGAATGGAGATCTGAAATTACAAAGAAATCCTTGATTAATCTTTGGAAATAATAATCACTAAAAAAAGAAATGATAGTAACAATTTGTGAATATTCTGAGAATACAACCTGTTATTGATTCTCCACCTTTTCAAAAAAACAAAAACCAAAAAAAAACAAATGTGAACAGTTGAGGTGTAACAACAATATTCGACGGAGGCTTAATCGCTTTATATGCAGCAAACATATTATTAATTAAAGGACGTCAGTCGTCGTGCCGCGTCCTGTTCGATATGGGACTCATAGCGACGTATACAACGCATGTAAAATACATTGTTTATTTACATGAAATTCGAACACGCGCTGCGCGACACGACCACCGTCCTTTAATATATATATATATCAAATATTAATGTTTGCATTTCCCAAATCCAAAGCGCTCTTCAAAAGTATGAGGTTTGACCTGGGCGCGACTTGCACTGATTACTGCCGGCGAATCCTTTGATACCTTCTAATCACCTAATAATTACCTAATCAAAGTCATCTTTGTTTATATGAGACCCATATATCTCGCGCATGCGTGGCGCGACGACTACCGCCCTTTAACCGACGGCATGTTGATTTGAGTCAATCCCGCTTATGATGATAATTAGTATTCATATGCATCTCCTGTGCGTTCCTTCATACTGTAATAATTATCGCACCTGTAGTATCAACTAAAGTTGAGTGCTTTTATTGATGTGTATGTCATTTAGATCTTTGAAGATCGGAAAAAACAGAAAAACGATGAGGGGGACGCCATGCTCAAAATCTCAGAACGATTCTATCTATTCTATTAATCCTCCATGATTTAAGAGTTCACAATATAAACCATTACAGGCACATTCAGCGGGGGCAAGACCCCTGGTAATACTGATTACTGCGTAGGGAAGCCATTACATCGTGCATTTAACAAATACGCGTTTGGGTAGCCACTCAAGATGGCGACGTATTTGACCTTTATCCCAGGGCTGAAGGTGAATAGCGCCCTCTAGAGAGGCTAGCGTTTGTGTTGATTGGTTCAGATAGTCCTGTAATTCAAATATCGAATAAATTAATTTATGTGATTGGTTCTCGCACGCCAGCTGACTGTGATTGAACTATCACGTGAGCTGAAGTTGCTACATCATGGTACCACGCACGCGCCTTCGTATGTTATGCTGAAGCACTATGCGATATATAAGTCTCATGTCGAACAGAACGAGCTTCTGGACACCTGCATTCAGTGAACTTTTTCAACACATGCTATTATTTATTTTACTAACAAGCACAATATAAGAAACATGTACCAGATACTGCCATCTACCCATGGTCAAGGCGAATATTATGATATCGAGGAAGCGTGTTTCAAGTATCCGACGTTTCAGAGTGAGGGAGGTGTATGCGTTTGAGTGGAGGGGGAAGGGTAAGCTATCAATTGGGAATATCATTGAATGATCAACCAACCTCATATATGTTATACATGTTCCATTTTTTTTTTTTTTTATCAAGGACTGTTTGAACCCAAATAATCCCAATGAAATCACTGTATTTCTAATGAAGGGACCCATTTTATGCCTTAGCTTTGTCGAGATTACATTGACGAGATTACGACATTCGCGTTGCCCCGGTTACATGGGTTCGACGCGGAGTTGTATTGGATGGAATACTACCAAATGTTATGACGGCATGTAAATGTAACTATGACCTTTGTTTAGAGTACAAATTCGATTAATATATCGTAACAATTTCACGTAGAGTTCATTCCCAGATAAATGATGATTTCCATAATGATGTACTTAATACTATAGTATATAATACTATAGTGGGACGCAAAAACGCGGGAAGGGAACACATGCGCGAGAGGAGATGGCCTGCACGGATGGGTGATTTAAAGTAACTGTGAACCTGACTAAACCAATCCGGACACGTATGGTAATTTAAAGTAACTGTAAACCTGACTAAACCAATCCGGACACGTATGGTAATTTAAAGTAACTGTAAACCTGACTAAACCAATCCGGACACGTATGGTAATTTAAAGTAACTGTAAACCTGACAAAACTAATCCGAACACGTATGGTGATTTAAAGTAACTATAAACCTGACCAAACCAATCCGGACACGTATGGTGATAAAAAGTAACTGTAAACCTGACCAAACCAATCCGGACACGTATGGTGATTTAAAGTAACTGTAAACCTGACTAAACTAATCCGAACACATATGGTGATTTAAAGTAACTGTAAACCTGGCTAAACCAGTCCGAACACGTATGGTAATTTAAAGTAACTGTAAACCTGACTGAACTAATCCGAACACGTATGGTGAATTAAAGTAACTATAAACCCGACTAAACCAATTCGAACACGTATGGTAATTTAAAGTAACTGTAAACCTGACTGAACTAATCCGAACACGTATGGTAATTTAAAGTAACTGTAAACCTGAATAAACTAATCCGAACACGTATGGTGATTTAAAGTAACTATACACCTGACTAAACCAATCCGAACACGTATGGTGATTTAAAGTAACTGTAAACCTGACTAAACCAATCCGAACACGTATGGTGATTTAAAGTAACTGTAAACCTGACTAAACCAATTCGAACACGTATGGTAATTTAAAGTAACTGTAAACCTAACTGAACTAATCCGAACACGTATGGTGAATTAAAGTAACTGTAAACCTGACTGAACTAATCCGAACACGTATGGTAATTTAAAGTAACTGTAAACATGACTGAACTAATCCGAACACGTATGGTGAATTAAAGTAACTATAAACCTGACTAAACCAATTCGAACACGTATGGTGATTTAAAGTAACTATAAACACGACTAAACCAATTCGAACACGTATGGTAATTTAAAGTAACTGTAAACCTGACTGAACTAATCCGAACACGTATGGTGATTTAAAGTAACTATAAACCTGACTGAACTAATCCGAACACGTATGGTGAATTAAAGTAACTATAAACCTGACTAAACCAATTCGAACACGTATGGTGATTTAAAGTAACTATAAACCTGACTAAACCAATTCGAACACGTATGGTAATTTAAAGTAGCTATAAACCTGACTAAACCAATTCGAACACGTATGGTAATTTAAAGTAACTGTAACCCTAACCAAAACAATCCGAACACGTAGGGTGATTTAAGTAATTGTAAACCTGACTGAACTAATCCGAACACATATGGTATTTTAAAGCCCGATGTGGCAATGAAAAACAAAACCAATGCGAATATGTATAACATATACAAGAATGACGAAATATTCAATTGCTTATACAAACGGTTTGTATATATACACAGGACATATCCACTGTAGCTTGAACAGTCAGTCGCCTTTGGTGTGAGTAAATGTCAATCAGTTTTTATTAAAAGTTGACTTTCTTAATAATATTATATTCATGACAAAAAAAAGGAGAATTTATTTGCAGAACTAGTACACAATTCTTCAAAAGCAACAAAAAGTTGATACAAATCAATTAAAAGTAATACAAGCAACGTGTTCAACTGTTGAAACGGGTAGACGACTCGTGGTGTCGACATACGGAATCATGGAACTACTTTGCATAAAATAACGACTATAAAGCATGCGACAATGAAATGATATTGATGAACAACACTTACATTGCATTGTTGTACGTAATGTCCGTCTGTTGCGACTGCACGTGGTCTGATTTGTAGTTTACCCTATGACTACATGTGACAGTTGAACACGTTTTTTTTTATTTGAAAGTGGCCAGTACTTCGGCCTTCACATAAATGCCCACGCAAATCCATGATACATGAAAACGCCAACAAACACTCTGATACAAGAACTTCACTAAATGAAAATACAGTTTGTTATATATGACAGTAACATTGTTGTAAGATATAATTTCAGGAAATACAATATATATATTTTTTTCAAAAAGGCCCAAAAAATAATGAAGCAAAACAAAAAATCTGTAACCCCAAAATGAATAAAAACGTAACCTGTCTGGTGTAGGTATGAGGTACTATGTTGCCTTGAGGTCTGCATTGGCAACACTAAATTTCAGTTTGACCCTGTTGGCGATTTGCGAAAATACTATATATTAACGGAATCTATTCTATAAAAGGGGGTTGCCCCTGGGATATTTTTTCCAAAATGTAGCACCTTAATCACCATGAAAATGGCGAGTATTTTTAAAACATTAAAGTTAAGTAAAATGTGGCACCAGACGTAAATTGCCTTTATTTCAGTGAAAAACTGGATTGGAACTACAATATTTCAGCGGGTAACTCATCGACTATCTCTGGCACCAGATTGTATTACAACGAAACTCAGATATTATTTATAAAATGCCTATAGTTACTACGAGGTATCTAATTGTTATAAAATAAAAAAAAAAACACTATAAAAAACACTGCCGGCCATCGAATTCTTAACGAGAACTCGTGGTCACGTGACACTGTAGCACCAATTGAAATCATCCTCTTATAAACACATTAAGTGAAATTTGCATATTAAACCTCTCTCTTTATCTAACTGTTAGAAAAGTACTCAACGACAAAAAAATGCAGGAAATAGAAATAGAACTGGAAACCTGCATACATGTATGCAATAGAATATACACACACCGATGCTGGGCACGTGATAAGAACGTGATGGATGAACACGTGATCAGCATATATACAAATATGTTAGGTATGTGTAAAATATTATGTTAGAAAGATTTAAGGAATATTTTGGTTTAGTTAAAACAGATAGGCCCAGCTTCATAACCAAATCGCTGATCAGGCTTTCCGAAATCCCCGGGCATAAAATCAATAATTGGGAGCTGGTGCAGTTTCGTTGTTTCTATCTCAAATACGGTGCTGCTTCTCTTAGGTGCGCTCTGTAATGAAAGTAAAATAAGTAATGATTTAATTCAACAAATGTTTCGTATTTTCGAATTATATTTGAATTCAAATCAAATACGTTTGCAATCAAACTAGACTAGGTTTTTTTTTTTTTTTTGCCGCTACGTGACTCGCTGTATAATGAAGTTGAGGGCAGTATAACAAATACGAACAGTTTCTACCAATTATTGCGTTTCAATTGCTACTGCAGAATGACCACAGCGTGAAGTGCAAGTACAATGTAAAAATATTATAAGTATGAAGTCACCACACATCAAGCTGCTTTATACATTAATACAGCGTAACATTAATTCATTTGTATCACTCATACAAATAAAATGAGCTTACATATTGGAATCCGAACACAAAATTAAATTCATGTGTACTGTCCGCGCGAGGAATCGCGTTCATATAGAATAGTATCGTTGTTTATCTACAGCCGAGGACAACATAGCGTGTCGATGTACGCAACAACGCGTGTCCGGAACGCATGATTCAATATAGTCATTGTGCCTTGTTGTACACTGTTACATGTAATTATGACGTAAATTACTGACCAATACGTCAAAAACAGTTCATGCAGACAAAGTAGAACCCACGGACCCGCATGTATGACAAGCGTATTGTAACGTGATCTCGCATGCGCCAGCGAGGCCTTAGCCGCTATCTCGAGTACGACTCTTTTGTTAAAGCGGGAGGGTCGTCACCTGCGCACGCGCGGGAATTGAGTCCCAAACGACGATAACAACACACGCTAAAACGCAAATGCTCATTGGGAGACGCTTGTTTGTAAACAATGACAAGCTATGGCAATCTGACGCATGCGCAGGTGACGACTCCCCCGCTTTAAGTATAATGAACTTTTGTGTGCCTGTAATTGAACAGTACTCCAGTAGTCACATATAATTGCCATAACAGCGGATAACGATAACGTGACCGTTTTTTTGCTTATGAACATACCTTGCATCCATCTTTTATGACAGTAGGAAGGTAATTGGAATCGTACGCAAACTCTTCCTCGTTAGCACCCATCAGCTTGACAGCTTTGTCATAGTTGTCAGATGCTTGGTCGTACCAACCCACTGAGTGGTGGCATGTATATGTGAAATTCTGTTTAGCGGAAGCACTCAGTAGCCGTAGGAATGTCATCTGCACTACACCGACATTAGAGTAGCTAATCTGGAACAAAAGCAATAATAAACCACGTTGTAACAGTCTGATCCAGGGAAAATATGTTAGGTACTACCAACAACACATGCCCCCCAAATAATCACTGGATACACAGTACGCCACTAAACCACGTGGCGTGATTCAATGCATCATTTAATACTTCCAGGATTTAACAAATAACAAGCAGCCTCTCGACTGAACAAGTCATTATTAATGACACATACACATGTATTTAGGGGGAAATGTTATTAATCCCAAAAATAAACTGACGGACCAAAAGCTTAGTTAATAATTAAGAGTGAATACATGGCTAGTCTAGTATGAACAGAAACTAGATCTATTAAATTACTCTTCCAAAATCGAAATGTATGGTCAGAAATTAAACAGGATATGCTTTTCATGCATTTTTGTATCCAAACTGAATTTCTTTTGTTCGGGCTCATGTACAGAGATAGTATTATAGTCGAACAGCAATATTTCAGGCAGTCAGCCATCTTTGATCCGATCGTGAAATTTACATGGACATTTTTCTAACGTGTATAATTTGAAGAGAACAAATTGTCAACGATACAACAAGATGACTGACATTTGGTCATTTTGGATTTGAACACGAAACAAATCACAATGGACATTTATCTCAACATATATATTGTTTGTATCAAATTTGAACATAAATCGACAAATCCTGTCAAGTTTATGGTTTTCAGGGTGACAAAGTCGACAACCGTGCAAAAACATAATGATGTATACAAATACATGCTTACCAGATCTCCTTGTTTAAACTCACTGAACCAATCTCCAGGGCGTGCCTTTCGATAACCTCTAGGAGTCACCTATTGAGCCAAAAAACACAACAAAACAAGCGTCAACATTGCAGAAATGGAAACCAGTTGCTTGGCAACTTGCATAGTTTCACAATTATGTGGGTTTGATTGACAAACTGTCTTCATTATTGGTAACAACATGTGTGCATTATACAGAGAATAATAAAGGTTCTGCTTTAAACAATGGAACACATACACGTCATAAGTGACGTAGCCTCTGCCAAAAATGGGATGGAAGTCCATGCAATTATTATTTGTATCTGCTAAAATAAATATTCTTCTTCACACACATATATTACAAAGCTTGAAACTCCTAGTGTCTTTCTCTATTGGTTAGTATTTGTTTTTTAATTGTATTGAATATAATTACATTTCAACAAATATTGATTGATTGATTGATTGATTGTATATTTATATTTTGTTTTCATGTTTGTCGTGCATTTGAAGAACGCAATCAATCGATCACCCAATTATCCAATCAATTAATCGATCAATCAATCAATCAATCGACCACTCAATAAGTAATCAATCGACCACTCAATAAATCACACATACAGTTCGGCGATAGCTGAAAAGTGAAAAGCTTTTTTTTCGTGAAATATTTCGCAGGCATATCTAAGTGGAGTGAGAGTGGGTGAGAAATACAGTGAGCCGTAAGAACTAGCAAAAGTAGGAAACTAGGAACTGAAAACAAGAGAAAATACAGGCGAGTAATGAGTGCTTTTCTGAAGTAGAAACAAATAACAAAACCACATCCGGCAGGCATAGATTTCAGTTATAGATTTCATGTCGTATTGGCTGGTTATGTTGTTAGTTGGCAACATTACGAGTGTCAGTATGATGCGTGATATCATAAATCAAGTATTTAGAGATGTTTGTATTAGTTAATCAAATAGCATGACACATGAGTCGCATTGGACTTGGATTCGGTGATTTATAAGGTATATGATGTTTCAATCACCATGTGGTTATGTTACATGTGTTTGCAGGGTATAGGTGTTAATTGTTTAGTTTAAAATAATCATATGGCAATATGGTATTGGAAAAAACTATTTGGTTGTTGAAATAAAAATAAAAGCATTCTCGAGTTGATTGGGTTGGTATATGTAAATGTTTGCGCTAGCTTGTCAGTGTTTTAGTACTAGGGTGTGCAGTATGAATGCAGAAGACGTAATTTGTTGTTGGTAGGAAGGGGGATTAATAAAGTTAGCGGAAATGAGAAATGACCAAAAGAAATCAGCTTAAAGTGTACTACCGAGGCGTTCACATCATCTAGTATGGATTCATCGAAGGAGCCTGCCACGAGCTGTAGATAAAAAGTTGACTGGTGGTAATATTCCAAATATAGATAAATAATAACAATAATATTTAAAAATAAAAAAAAAACGAGATTTCAATCATTACTGAGAAGAGATGAAAAGAAAATGCAAAAAAAAGTGACATGAAGATGAGATGTAGACATGCAAAATATTCTAGCATTCACTGACGGGTAATACTCGGAGACAGAGTAGAAGTAGACCACCGTATTTTACTGTAAAAGCGGTCATACGTGTGATTTAAGCGACCACCCATAAAAAGATTTATTTTAACCCGGTAGACTGCCCATTAAAAGCACCTCAAACACATACGATTAAGACACACCATTTAGATGAAATGACATATTTAGTTTTTTCCTCATCACATTTTATTTTGTTTATTTTTATTCAATAGTTTTTTTTCTTTATCCATGTGGAAAATGAATTGTAATATCATACTATGTCACATGATATATGAACAGGTGTTTACTGATTCAGTATAACAAAGCTCAGTAGTCACGTGGTTCAAAACATAAAACATGTGATCAAACGCAGCGTAGACATATTTAAATGCACAGATCCACCAAGCCGTTAACGAAATTGACAAGATTATAATTCATGAACTCTGCATGATAGCCAGCTTCCTCTCTATACGAGATGATATGCATAATATATACATGTATTTGATGTTCATCGCGAAACATATCATTTAAACAGTGCGTTTTAAGGTGTGCGTTTCATCCTTAATCAGCGCCTCGTGCCGTGAGTTAAATGCATAGAGCAGAGTCAATCTAGAAACAAATAACAAAAGAAACCAGTGACGTCAGCATCACACGTTAGATTAATAACTGTTCACACAGATTAAACCACACAGAAGGAAGTAATCCGAAGAAGTACGTCAACGCTTTTCAGACTGTGATATTGACGTGAAGTATGGATCCCAGAAACTAAATCCCATCAATTCTTACCTTTCCAGTGCTCTCGTCAGGCTGTACGCAGGTTTCACCTCCTGCGGTGAAATTACAAAATACCTCAATAGCGTCTTTGCTGCACCCTTGATTAGGATCTATCCAGTACATGCCTGAAACGTATGTCATAGATAACTCGGTCAGTCATATTTACTGCAGCTTGTTCATTGTGTTCAATTTACTGCGTTCAAAACATTATAAGATAATCACGATAGTACAAGTACATACGAGTTATATGACGAACACGAAGCACAGTGCCCTCGAAACTCGTCTTACTATTTCGGACATAAAGGACTACACGCTGTCCACTATTGCTTGGTAACAGGGCTCGCACGAGGATGTGCGCAATAATGGGCGAGATGCAGTTATCATGGAATGGGAAGTGCGCTGGCCTTTTTTTTAATTATAATACCGCGAAACTTCGTTAACAAAAACGTACAGTGGTTGCTTGGAAAATTATTACTATTAAAAAATTATTTCGACATTATCACTATTGAAAGCAGAATAGGTGGCGATGATTATTGCAAATGCCCCCAAAAGTGCAGGGTCTGATAAAGGCTTCGATTGGTATCTGAAAAGATTTCAAGAAGTGATACATATTAAAAATGTAGAAGTAGTCTTGTTACAATTAGCCCAAAGTTTTTGACTGTTTTGAAAGTTTCCGACTGTTGTTTTCACTCGTTGTGGTCACCAGGCGGTGAAAATGCCCGGATGTTTGCTCCCGAGAATACCTGATTTAAAAATATTTGACAATTATAGTTGCATACTGTTGGAACAGTATGATTTGTTGCAATCAAATTGTGTTGAAAAAAGACGAACTAACTCAATACATACCATCTGGAAAGTCTTCGTGACACATGTAAAGATCTTTACACGTCCTCGCAGGGTTGAACCGCGTACCTATTGGTCTTTTCATTTGTTCTATTTCAATCTTAAGTGCCTCCAATGATCCAAAGATTTCTTCCAATCCATCGGTGTACTCTGGAGGTAGATCGTTTTCGTCACCTGCCGCCCTTCGTCGTCGTTCTGCCTCGTCCCTCATCATCTGCCTCGTAGCATCCAGTAATCCCATCTCCACCAGCTGTTGTAGATTCTAAGAGTACAAATGCAAATGACCCTTAATTAGCATAATTCCACAAGGTAGAAATATATTCTATACACATAGCGTTCATGTGAAGATCCTTAGGCACATCGATTCGCCCCATTCGAAGAAAAGGTCATCTACGAGTTTGGGGTTCAATTACGTCAGCAGTTTCCTTGACTCGTTCACGGTCTCCTTCTCGACAATTCTAACAAATGAACCGAAAGCAACGACTTTTCGCATCGTTTCACTTCGTAAATATACTAGAGTGAAAGATAAATATTTTGAGAACGATTTTTTGCGATTATTGAAAGACTGGCTAGGGACGAGACAGAGGATTGTGTGACTTATCCGAACTAGAAATATTTCACAGCATCGAGTCGTGTAATCACATAAAAAGGAATATACTTACTTCTATTGTTGCTGGAGGACCCTACAATTGAAAAACAAAAAAATCAATCAATATTACGATCCCAAATTGTTAAAGAACGGGATATCAACGTGTTGCAATCATTTGTATGAATGAATAAATAAAAGGTATTTAGAATGATACTAACCGGTGGTCCGGCAGGTCCCTGAAATAATAAAAAATATATATGTTACTTTACCATATGTAGATTTTTCGTCACGTGATGTTTGCAAATTATAGCAATGGACATCAAGTGTGGAAGGTCAGTTATATAACACAACATCAATATTGTTTATCTAAAAAATAATTAATAAACAAACATACAAAGGCAAGTTACTATCACCACCAAAAGTACAAGTAATCGTCGCCATCAAATCTGACAGCGGTCAGCCCAAAGTACACACATATCTACTAGTGAAGATATTGGGCTTGCAGTTGTCTCAAGAAGCAGTTTCTAATAATTTTTCAACAATCATGGGATAAATATTCACTGAAATTGGGGAATAATTCCAAATGAAAGTTTCATTTTTGAAAAGTTTGATGACGGATGGCGCATGGCGCAAGACAGACGATGGGAAATTAGTCATACCATAAGCCCATGGCAGTGGGCAGCGAATCTAACAATATACAATATAGAAACACGTAATGTATCCTAATACACTGTTAAACATAATCCAGTCTACAGTATTAAATCTCAACACAACGTACCTTCCAATACGACATATGTAATTGAATTAACGAAATATTCAACAATAATACACCTATAAAACGTAATACAATGTAATTATCGTAACATGTATGTACAATTAGTTCTACCACAAAAACTACAAAGATGGCAACGTAATTTACATATTAAATGCAATGCACTGTAACTCGCAATTCTTCTACCGAGTAGAATACACTGCAGCAATTGAAACATGCATGTGGATTACTTACAGTTAACCCTAGATCTCCTTTCGGACCTACGTCACCTTTGTCACCTTTGTCCCCAGTGCCGCCTTCAATACCCTACAATGAATAACAGTACAATTATCGCAACCTACACTCAGATCAACCGTTGGTCTATTAAATAATGAATGACACAATAATCACAAATAGTTTCAAAGGTGTTAAATGACTATATAATAACGACCACAATTTTGTAATTGTGTTTGGCAAAAAACGAACTATTAGTTGCGTTCACGCACAGCTTCTTAGCACGGGCTAAGAGGTCAAATTCCTTAGCCCGTGCTAAGAAAACGTGCGTGAACGCTTAGCACGGGCTAAGGAATGCTAAGTACGGGTTAAATCTGATCCGAATTTAAGACGCGGTCAAGACCTTAGCACGGGCTAACGAAGTATGCGCGAACGCTTAGCCCAGGGCTAAGCGCCCTCTGCGGCGACCTTTGGGTGTGAAAATTGTCCCATGTTCGTATAACGACACTATACTATTCCACCAGTCATTACTCCGCGCTCACTTCCACACTAATCGGGTCACTGTAGTAGAGCGTACAGCAGCTCCAATCGTAGACAAAATAAATTTGGTTCGCTGTCTACGACATGCATTAATAAAACGCTGTATTCTGTTACGCCCGTTGTATACTGTTTATGTGCATCCAAATAAGTGGTCCGTCTTCTCTCGCGTTCCTGTGCACGTCGCTTCAAAATTAGAACGAAACATGCCAACAGCAGAAATAGAACCTCGCGCGTGTCATCCATTTTTCGTTCGTAAATAGCGGCTTACCAAAGGTCAACGACTAATGGCACCCCTTAGCCCGTGCTAACGACTGGCCCTCCCTGTGCGTGGACGCAATTGGGTCTAGCCGAAATGCAAATATGCTAGATAAGCCTAAATCAGCTTAAATCTTAGCCCGTACTTCGCGTAACGTGAACACAATGATTGTGATTTGATCACTATGGGTAATCACTATTTTGAAATTTGAATGACCATTTTTACCGCAGTAACAAATCATGCAGAATCGCCATGTACATAGACGTTTGACCTATTTGTATACGTAAAAGTAGATATGCACTCACTGCAAAATACAAGATCTGTTTAAATTGTAACCCTATTATGTTATTATTTTACTTATCATCAACACATTCTTTGTTCAACTAATCAATATAGCATCATATGATCCCAGCTATTTAACATTTTGATAGGCATCTTTTTCTAGAACTCAGTCTATTATACTATCAAATGAGTTTCTCTGAAACAAGTCTTACGATTAGCACCAAAGTTGTTGCTAGCTGAACTAACTGTGAACCGCAAACACGGGAGTTCAGTGTATCTTTAAATAAGCCATGCACAAGGTGTTTAGGCAAGGTAACCTTATCAACCATAGTTTATTTCAGTGACGGTGCGAGGCAGATACTTACCGGAAGACCTGGGGGACCATCAGGACCAAGTGGACCAGGTGGACCTGTGAGACCCTGTAAAATAAGATAAATATATATACGATGTGAGCATTCTGCCTAAAGAAATCACAAGTTTACGAATATTGATATCAAACAATGCATTCTTTGAAGAAGGAATCATAAAGTGTGTTACTATGGCAATGCCAAATGGTGTGAAAATAACCAGGTTTGCATATGGTATGATTTTATGTAGCAAGAGTTCACTCACAGGTTCTCCTTTTGGTCCCATATCTCCTTCTTGCCCAACTTCACCACGACTTCCTTTTTCGCCAAGTGGTCCATTAGGACCAGTGAGTCCTATTGGGCCTTTGTCACCCTGTGAAGTTAGCATAGTTAGTATTCATAACACATGACCCAAATAATTATGTGTCACCACTGGGACTGAATCGAGTTTTTTCAAGAGTACTTCTCATCTTACGCAATTTGCCGGGACCGTCTATCACCACAATCAACTACCGAAAGACGCCAATGTTCTGTATGTAACACGGCCTCACAGCAGAACATTAAAATAAAACATATATAGACTTGATTGACATTGAAGATATTTTGTGAACATAAACGACGAGCTGAATTATGAGTCAACATTGTACACATTACGTAACATTCATGTTAGTCGTTATAACTATTGATTAATGAGTAACACTTAATTGGCTGTTTCCTGGCCACGTGACATGGTGCACCAATCATAATTGGCAGATACAAGTAACTAGTAATGGTACTTAGGCCCTTGGTTACCTGACACGGTGTTACATTATTGCAAATAGGGTGTATGTAAAACAATTAGTCTAAGACAGTTTTACAACTACGTCACTTAATCACATGACTACAGTGCCGGAATTATTACCCACTGAAAGAAGATGGTAATTACTAGCCAACTGCGCCCTCCTTGCCGTTCGCAAGGAACGCCGGGAACCACCAAGCATACGTTGACGCATCTATCCGTTAGATGGCGCGCTTCCTACCTTGTTCCCTTTCACTCCCTGCTCTCCTTTATCGCCTTTATCTCCCGTCATTCCCTGAGCAAGACAAAATGAAAGGCAATTGGGTATGAATTCTCAATATTTTGAATTCTAGATAATATACATGCCATATATTCTTGATGTTGTTATTCGACGATTATGATATGAATAAATGTATCGTTATGCTTACCATAGGCCCAGCTAAGCCTGGAAGTCCAGCTGGCCCTTCCCCACCTTGTGCACCCTATGACAGAAAGATATGCATTAGCAAATAATAACAATTTGTAACATTATTATCAAAACAATTTCTATGTATGGGTTTACTAAACTTAGTATAACATATTAACATTCTACTAACCTCGGGTCCAGGTGGTCCCCTTGGCCCATCAGCTCCAGTTGGTCCAGGTCGTCCCTGGAATGTAAAACAAACGCTTATTACACAGTGTTGTACGTTGCAACAAACGAATTCAATCTGAGTCATAATTGAATAGTTCGTGTTAGAGATCCAAATACTGCGCCCTCTGAGAACTTTGATGTACACTGTTTATCATGATTGTGAACAATTTCACTGTATTACACGTAAACGCCACCGTTCCTAACTTTACTGTTTTGTGTAAACCTTAGAAATTACGTGTTTTCATATTTGGAACTTAAAGTCTGAGTCACGTGCGTACTCTCCCTACTGACAGCAATATGATTGTCTTTCCCCATTATTCATTGAGTTCTGATACCTTCTAAGTAGGAACAATTGTTATTTACTGCTCAATCAAAACAGCCCTTGAACTATGACCATCCATGACAACGTGAATAGATATCTAAAATTGAAAACTACGTTTTTTGGATGCTTATGCGTATAAAGGATAAGAACCGTTTTTGAGTAGGGAGGAACATCAGAGCAACAACGAGTGAGTCGACATTGAGAGCTGCAGTCAAATGGTCTGTCAGCGAACAGTTCAATCATACTTCTATGATAAAGTCATCACCCTAGACTCGTTTATAGTTAGTGATTAGATCAGTCATGGATTGGCTCTACTGTATATTAAGAATAAACGTATTAAGCGTTACATACTGAACTATTCACATTCCTTCCATATATATACCCTTACCGCCTGGTAACGATTCCTGTATGTACCTCTAGCCTGCCAACTTATGAAGCTAATCTACGATTGCCGAGTTCCCTAAACTCGGTAGAAACCCCGACCACACAAGTACCTCGACGACATTTGGTGGGGAAGCTCCGATTACATTTGAAGCAATGTGCCATCAATTCGAAAGTTGAGTGTTCTGGTTGAAACTAAGATGTGGCGAAAAAAATTGACATACTCAGTCTTGTAACGAACTAAAACACGTAAAGATCGTGAAAATGGTCAGTTAACAATATATAGAAACACTACCAAAATCCGGTAAGAGGTGGACAACCCCCCCCCCCCCACCGCATAGAATACTTTTGAACGATCCTGTTTTTGAACGTCGCTAAAGATTAGTTTATTTTTAGTCACGTTACCATGTAGTAGATGGTATGGTTACAGGTGCACATTCCACAGACTGAAATGGGGGTAGACGAACGACGCCAAATTACAAACCAAACAAGAAATAGGAAGGTATGGATACGTTGATACTCACCATTGGTCCAGTTGCTCCCGGCATACCTTGCGGGCCCAGTTCTCCTTTATCGCCACGCTCACCCTTTGGACCCTGCTCTCCCTCCTGTCCATTGGTGCCAGGCGGACCCTAATTATGCACATAAATTATGAAATCACATATCACATTGAATACCGAGGGGACGTATATATTTGTGATACTTCTAGTCATAATATCTGGGATGGAATCCAACTTTGAGCACCAGTGTCTGAAAAAGGGTCTGCTATTTCAGCATTAATTACTGAATTTATAAATAAACATTTCGAAAATCGCTAAAAAATAAATAAATTCAATTAGTAAACAGAATACAATAATAATGACTTACAGGTGATCCCCTCGGACCAGGTGGACCAAGATCTCCTTGTGGACCCGGTGCACCCTATAAAAGAATTTATATTCAATTAACATATGTATACAAAACATTGAAGCAGTAAATTGACGTCACGGCGTCGCTAGGCAATATGTTTGTTGAAACAATGTGTTCTATGTTGCTCCAAGGTAATTCAGCAAACTTCTGAAAATATTCCGCGAAAGATGTCGCCATAACAATTATGGATATGAGACAAAAGGTAGTGCGCCGTATCGTCCATAAATGATTTGACTTGTGTCTTACTCGATTGTACACATGTCATCTACTCAATCTGCAATCAATAAGGCCTTACCGTTTGACCTATTTCTCCCCTCTGTCCCCGCTCTCCTTTCGTACCATCTTTACCGGGTGGTCCTTGTACTCCTGATGAGCCTGGTGGTCCCGGTGGTCCCGATGGCCCCCTGTGACCTTTGGGACCTTCGTTTCCAGGTTCTCCTCTTGGGCCATACGCCCCAGGTTGACCTTGGGCTCCTTCATCTCCCTGGTTACCCTTTTCACCTATTGAACCCTTGAAAATAATTGTATTACCATAATTATCGAGAACATTATATTCAAAAATTGTTATTTTAGAACAGTGTTACAGCAGAATATCATTTTTATGAATAATTTAGGATAACAAAAGTACTCCACCTTAACATTTCAGACCCAATAAAAAATTGGCTGGTATTCAATTAGTAAGCTTGACTCACGCTCACGCGTTTATTTGTTTGTCGCTCTCTCCAAACAATGCATTTAATATAATGGCATACTTTGACCAGCTACATACTGTTTAGCGTGTCTAATCTGAATCCAAATATAGGCACAACTTTAACATCTTGTGATTTAATTAATTCATGAATAAATATGAAGACATAATCACATGCCCTTTAAAAGTATGCCACGATCCCACAGATACATGCAGTATATCAATACTGATTCGCACCCTGAATTAATAGTACTTACCTGTACACATACACATTAACTTAGTACATTACTTTTAACAAGATAAATATGGTTGTGCCTACCAGAACCAAATGTTTACAGTTTAGAAATTAAGAAAACTATCGATAAACCTACCGTTGGACCACGTTCACCTGGGAAACCCCTAGGACCTTGTTCACCTTGATTACCCTGTGTAATGAAATAGACATCATTAATTAATCCCAGCAAACGGATTTGAAGAAACAATTATGCAAGTAACTTTATCAAAGTTCTTGTGCATGTACGTAATTAACGAAGGTAAGACAACCTCATAGCAGCAGTGAGTGGTTTTTGATCAGCTAATATTGACACACAGACAAAGGCAATAGGTACACACCTTGTCTCCACGATCTCCTTCCGGCCCACGAGGCCCAACCATTCCTGGTACCCCCTGTAAATGAAAAAGAAGCGTATGTAAAGATGATATCTCCATAGACGTTAAGTACAATAGAAAGTTGTCAAGAAATATTTAGAAACTACTGTAAAGGGGGTAATTATTCACTGGGTTTTAATTTAGCTTATTTCGCTGACTGGAAAAATGCGCTAAATTAAAACACAGTGAATTTGTAAAATTTAGCATAGAACACATTATCTAAATGATAAAACCGTGAATTTAAAACTCGCTGAATATGCCTGAAATGGTAAATCAGTGAAATTTAAACACAGTGAAAATTAGTCATTTTACAGTAGTCATTGTGGGACACGCTAAATGTTTACCTCTGCACCACGATCACCAGGTTTTCCTGGAGGTCCCGCAGCACCTTGTACTCCCTGCCAAAAGAAAATATGATTTAGCAAAAAGACACATACAAACATGGACACAGAGGAATGTTTCTGTTTTTCGAAAATTCAGATGAAAATCGGAATTATTCACAAACGACGTATATTCCTATTTAGTTTCCATATTTTGTCATGAAATTTCGCTCGCAGTTAGAACTTTATTTTGACACCATTATCATTTACAATGACAATCACAACAAGGATATTATATTATCAAATCGCCTTAAGGTAGCAGGATAGTTTTTTTGCATGAAAAATGTAAACACTTATAATCGGAATAAATTTTACAAGAAACCATACAATCTATACATGTTTGGAAAGCTCTTGACTTGTATTTTCCTATTATTAATATTTTGTGAACATTGTGTTTGTTTTAGCGTCACGTGATTCTGAAAATCAGCGGGGCTGATAATTTAACTAACGTAAATCAAATTTTAATTGTCATCTCTACAGTCATTCATGCGACCAAAAACTTTACACTGTTTTGAAGCAAAGGATATGAAGTTTAAATCCGTATTTCTATTTTTTGCATTAAGT